AATCTCAATCAAATCTTACTTTTAGATTCCTCAATCTAATCAACAGCTTCAAGTTTTTTTCCTCCCCTAAAACTAGGCACATAACCTAATTCCAATACTACATATTAGCTATGTAGGTGACTCAAAAACATAGTTAGGTGGTGAATATTCCTAATAGCGTATTATCCTTCCTAGCCACATGTTGGCAGTTGAGAAGCAACTACAGAATGTGAGTGTGTAGGTGTGGGTGTCTGTGCATCATGTGTCTCTAACGGCAAAGAATGAGGAGAATCATCTCTGATATGAACCTATTGTTGCGAAAATTAACAAACAGATCAAACACATAAATGCGTTGTGGGATTTTCATTATGTTGAGAAAACGGTCCAGAATACATAGAGTTCACGATAAATAAATATCATTACTTTCGCACTAGAACAACATATATTAAAGTCTATAGTGATATATATATAGAGAGAGAGAGACAGTGTGTGACAGTGTACCTATATATATAGTCTCTTTTTGCATAGGTAAGCACACATAGTATGCATCACATTATGCAATTACGAAACCATGCATTATATATGCAATTTGTGCAGGACTACAAAAGACATCTAGCTCTGTGTTCGATCTCTCACACCTACAAGTCTTTCCATGAGAAATTACTGGATCAGTTTGGTGGGGGTGGGATTTGTATAGAGCAGTTGGATCTGCAGAGCGACCGACATTTCGCTGTCCATTAATGATCTTGGATGCTACCTTAGAAATGAATCACATATGCTCAGTTGATTGAACTCATTGGAAAATATTGAAAATCATATATAACTGAGAAAATTATAGCATTCAGTTTTGAGATCCAGTTCTTATTTAGGGATCAATTATATGGACTAAAGTAATTAAACTGTAATAGGCTTGTTATTGGGTAATTTTCTCTGCATTTTATTTGTCACCTTATTTTTAATCATACATGTTGTCAGATATAATGGGGAAATTGTGAAAATATATATTTTGTAATTGGCTAATTTCACTATCAAAACAAGTCCGATCGAATTGTCAAATTTTGGTTCAGAATTTCAAGTTTGAAGATCAGATGCAGATTTAAAAAAGTTCAAGTGTTCATACTTTAATAGACTCCGAGATGATGAGAACAATGCTATAGGAAATTTTGTGAGTGTGAGAACACTTAAGAAGTTTTAGAAGTTTTCAGGGAGAAATTACATTATGCCTAACTTGAACTGATTCAAGAATTCAGCGAACAGGTTCAACATCTGAGCGAACAGGTTCAAGAATTTAGCAAACAGGTTCAACATCTGAGCGAATAGGTTCAACATTTGAGCGAACAGATTCAAGAATCAAAGAGAATCTTCGAAATTCACTCTGGCCATCTTGAACCGGTTCAAAGAATCCTGAACCGGTTCAAGGCTTTAAATATGTTTTGGTAACTTCAGTTTCCTGATCTGTTTTTATTTCTTTTTCGTCTAGATTTCCTTCCAAAATCCTATGCATGAATTTACTTTATTTTCAAGCATATCTAGGTTTTTTAAAAGTCTATATAAACATGTTTTCTCAATTAAGATTTCATGGTTTCTAAGAAAAAAATTCATTATTTTGAGAAAAACTTTTGAAATATATTTTTCAGAAAATCAAATCTGATTTTATTTTTGAAAGCACACACATAAACATAAGAGTGATTTAGTAGTGTTGTTCTCTATCTCATCGGAATTGGAGTATAATTGAAGATTCAGAAGTTTCGAAAAACAGAATTCATTCATTATTCATCAAATTAAGATCTTGAAGAAAAGGGGTGAAGAGTTCACACTTTGAAGGGGTCAAAGCATTCGTGGAGTGTTATTTGATATACCTGCTATAGGAAAAAAAAATGTGCTCAACTAATTAAATCAATAATGTTTTGTACAAAGGGAAAAATAATGCAAAAACTAAAATAAAGTAAAGAAGAAAAAGAAAATTTATCAGCCGAGGCGTGAGGTTTAACTCACTGTCCTTAAAGTGAACTCGCCCCCACTAGCAATATATGGCTCACAGCACGCGTCCTTTGGTGCAAATGGTACTCAAGCGGTCACTCTCCAGGATATAACGACAACCTTCAAAATGTGTACTCAGATTGAAGACTTGAATTCGTTTCAATGAAGCCCAAAGATATAATAAGGAAATATAATTTCAGAACACCAAAATCATGCCCAGAAGGTTGCTGGAATTCTGGACAGTATGAAGTTGAAAAAAAAAAATTTCACTGAAATATGTTTGAAGAAAGAAAGATGAGAGGGTGATCATATAGAGAAGAATGATTAGGGATATCTCAATACGTCTCAAGCCTAGTCTATTTATAGGATGTTCATGGCTTAAAGCCTTTAATGGCTCTTGACTGTTACAAATATAAATGTATTAATAGACCACCCATTATTATATTTAAATAGGTCTAATAGACAAAACGGACGCGAAATAAATATAAATTTTTAATGCATAATAAATAAATTTTTTAAAACATATTTCTAACATCTGCAACTCTTCTACAGTGATCAAAAGTAAGTATAAGGTCGAGAGCTATTGAACAGGGGAGTCGTAAAGTCAGAGATTGTCAGTGATTGATTTTTGGTAGAACAATAGAGTGTGAGTCTGAGTCAAAAATTCAGTTTACTTTGCTTCAAACATAATGTATTGTTTTTCTCTGGACTGCACAATTCATGAGGTTTTTCCCACAACAATGAGTTTATTCTACCAATTGGGATTTCCTCGCTAAAAATCCCGGTGTCATCTCTCAAACTTTATTTACTTTACTTGTACTTTTTTTTTTGCTTTATGGGTTTGATTTTAGTTTTATTTTGGTAAAATTAAAATAAGTAAAAATTAGATAAAAGAGCAAGTAAAACCTGTTACCAGGTTAATTATTTATATTATATTTCACAACTATTCCGCTGCGTACAACTCACACACGTGACTTGGGATTCACTCACACTTTTTGCTTCCATAATTACTAGAGTTTTAGAGTAAATTTATTTTTTGTTTTTGTAGATAACTCGGGATATCTGAGACTTTGCCCCGACCAATTTCTATCGGGCCTGGTAAGTCACTGAGTATGGCAACGGAGGTGTGACCCAAGAGTTCTAGAATAATATTATTAAGAGAGCGGAGGTGTGTCTTCTCTCTAACTACACAAAGGTTGGTTGAACCAAACACACAAAACCCTAGCAAGGAATCAATGGGTCATCAAGCTTTGAAAACACAACTTCGAGCAAGCAAAACCTTGATAAAGAATTACTGGATCACCAAATCCTTGAAAGAACAACATCGAGTACATAAAACCCTGACAAAAATGGGTAGGTCATTAAGCTTTGAGAAATCAAACTCAAGAACTCAAATAAACCTTAAAAAAATGACTACCAGGTTACCAAACCTCGAGAGAACAAATCTCGAGTGCATAAAGCCACAAAAAATAATGTAGTTACCAGATTAAGAAACATTGAGAATACAATCTCGAGCACACATGAAACCACAAACAAAAAAATTGATAAACCACGTTAATAAAGGAAATGAAATAAAGGTAGGACTATCTCATAGTAGGTGTGTTTCCTGCGAATGTAAAAAAAAAATGGGAGGGTTTTTTATCCTGAGAGAACTCTCTTGATGTAAAAATAAAATAAAAAATAAAATTTTTTTTGGTGTTTGCACCAAATTATTGTGGTTGAAATGATACTAGTTTGGGCTTTGGCAACTTCTTTCACTCTGGGCGTTACTGACCGATATTTAATTGGAGTTTTTCCCAAACATGTTTGGGCTTCTTATTGGGCTTAAATAATAGTCCCTGTTGTGGCCTAATCCGTTACCATAGGCCCACTTTATAAACTTGTTCACATATTCTGAACAACAATAAGAACTTCCTTTCACTCTCCTCTTTTGCGTTTTCTTTACTTTTTTTTCTCTTTAACCAGGATAAGATTGCTCTACAATACAAGAAAGATACATAAATTTAATATATATATATACTATTGTTAATGAAAAAAAAAAGGAAAGGGGGGGGGGGGGGGGTGTGGGTGGGTGGGGGAGGATTTATTAAAGAAAAATAATAATTAGAATCTGAATAAAGTGACATAAATATTATTGAAACTACTGTCACTTTTTTATTATAAAGATGGTGATCTTTATGGAAATTATTCCCAAAATCATCAGCTAAAAAAATAAATAAAAATTTTGCAGTTTAGCAGTACTCGTTTGTCTTTCAAATTAGAAATTAAGAGTTCAGGTTCAATTTCGAGTGGAGGGCAGGCTAATGTATTTCTTACTATGGTAAACTAAAAGAAAATATTTTAAAAAAATTGGAAGTCCTGAGGTGAGATTGGTAGTAGCCAAAATCGAAAACAAGTGGGACATACATGTGTCTCTCATTGAGGATAGAGTTGAAAACATGAGAAGATTCCAAGTTGATGAGCTGAAGATGACATGGACTTTGTAGGATTCCATATTCAAGAATCAAGATAAACATTACACGAGCCCCAGTCCCACCACGTTCTTATATTCTTTTTTAATAATAAGATGGCTTAAAGCCTTAAACCTGATTTAATAAAAGAGCTTTCATATCCACTTTAATATATTAACAGCTGATCTCGCGTGTCATTCAAATACTTTTTCATTTAAAAAAGAAGAATTCGTTATCACAAGTTAATTGATCATTAACTTTTAAAAAATAAAAAATAAATACATAATTGATCATTTCCAACCTTAACAGTACCTAGTCAAAATTCCATTCATCCAGAAAAATATAAAAAGTCAAATTCCATGGCGCGCCGTGATTTTCTCCCAAGTCATTTTCATTGAAGAGAAAATCATTATGTATTCATCTCTCTCCACACATTTTTTTTAATATTGTCTAAGAAAATTAAGTTAAGTCGAAATGAACCGTCACGTTATAATAATATCAGTCCCTCCTTATATTCATAGTAAAATACTATGTTTGATTATCGACTCTGTTATTCAAAAAAAATTATAGACTTTCCTAAAAACACCATAATCTCATTGAAAATGAAGAAAACGTTAAGAGTTTTACTTGGCTTAGATCTACCGCAAAAAGTTGCACTCTTTCTTTGACCCATGACAATTGACAACATCTTCTACAATCCATCACCCATATAAAAGTAAAGCAATTATGTCTTTATCTTCAACCAAGTGAGGATAACAACCACCAAGTACAGAAACCCTAATAAAGTCACAAGATTGATCATCACCAATGGGTAACAGTTTAGGATGGAAAAAGACCACAAAAATCATGAAGATAAACGGCGATTTATTCAAGCTGAAGACTCCGGTGCGAACCGGGACGGTAATCAAGGACTACCCAGGTCATGTTTTGTTGGAATCAGAGGCTGTTAAGCATTTTGGTATTAGAGCAAAGCCATTAGAGCTCCATCAAGAGCTCAAGCCAAAAAGGCTCTACTTTCTAGTGGAGTTGCCAGTTTTTCCTGACGACAGAGGTACTAGAAGAGTCCGGTCCGGGATTAACATGACGGCCAAGGACCGGCTCGAGAGCCTGATGCTGTCTAGGAGATCGGCCTCGGACCTCGCCATCATGAAACCGGCGAGTTTAACGGTGGAGGAGTCGAGGGAAGGAGTGGAGTCCGGGACGGTGAGGGTGAAACTGAGGCTACCAAAGTCGGAGGTGGCTAGGTTGATGAGGGAGAGCAAAGATGAGGCCGAGGCAGGCGAGAAGATTGTGAATTTTTGTATGGGTGACAAAACTGTGGCTAACGGTGTCAGTGTGGCGGCACCACCAGAGGAGGGCGGTGGGCTGCGGAGCTCGTTGTTGCAGCAACAAGTGCATTGGAAGGGTGGTCATGGAAGCGCCGGAGTTGGTTTCAAAGTGCGTGAGGTATGTTGTTCTTCTTTAGACCACTCATCCATTTTTCATGCCTTGTTTAATGGGGTTGACACTTTTTTTTTTGGGATGTTCATTTAGAAATTAAGTCAAATCTTTTGGGATGCAAAATTGCTTGATATTCACTATTAATTTCTGTTTTTTTAACTATAATTATTGTATTGCTTCAATCCTGAATTATATAAACATTATGGGAAATAGCTAAAATAGGTTGCTTTAATCACTGTATACAAAGACTTTGCACTAGTATCGACCTTTATTAAATACTAACCAAAGTTGTTCCAATCAACTAAAGCATGATTTCGTTGCTGGTGCAAAACATCTTCAAGTAGCTCTGCTTTGGAAATGGTTGCAGTAGTACAGAATTTCTACTCCCCTCCTTTTTTTCAAAGCCAGAATTTAGAAAATAAGGGCATTACTTAATGACCTAGTTGATAGAGTGCTTAATTCTTCGAGCAAGTTTGTCCGTATTTGAATTCTCCTCCCGCTAATTTGCCAAGATAAATATGTAAACAATTTTTGGGAACTTGTAGAAAAAGAATTATTACGGAGTAATTAATTTTTCAACGTCAATCCTCTCCAAGCAAATTTCAATGTTAGCAACTTCTATTTCATAATGCATTAACATGTGTCAACTTCTCTTTCCAAAATGTGAGATAGCTCAATTACCCCCTCTTGAACCCACCATTTTCATTGGCGTAACTTCATGCATGCTATTTTCAGATGGGATCAACTTTGATACCATTTATGATGACCCAACGCGCGCATTGACAGAGTTAAAACACATCACGTAAAAAAATGTGAGATGTCACAATCACTCCTTCTTAGACTCTGATGTGATCCTCATGATACCATTTATCACAACTCGTCCTATAAATATTGTTTAATTTGCACATTATTTATGATAATAATTTTAAAATACACATTTACAAGTCTTAACATATATAACTGTAGAGCCTTCCTAGGTAGCACTTACTTGTCTATATGTCAAATGAAGGTACTAATAATTAACAATATTTAGCATCCGTACACGTTCTTGAATTCAATGATAACATCTATAACGGTCTTCTAAAGCACATTTTCCGTGGCATTTTTGGTATGACCTTTTTTTTATATCACAAAACTAAAAAAACCCTTGAATGTGCTTCATGATTCTGATAAACAATTATAAATAAAGATTAAAAATAAAAAGTTGAGATACGGAAGTAGAGAGAGTGAATATTTCCCCAACAAACATCGAAATTAGAAAGTGAAACGGACCATTTTTTAAGGCATACTTCTAAATCCTCCTTTCATACCATCTTCAACTCTTTCCTATCAAGAAAGCAACCATTAGATTTTTTTTTTTATTATTATTATTTTTTTTTTTACATTTTTATTTATTTATTATGTATCAGTGTGAAGTCCCAGATATAAAGAAGTTACATGCAACTTTTTAAGTATTTGAATCAAGGAATTACAAAGGCTCTGTAACAAAATTCTGATTTTCTTTGTTCAATCAAAATGCATTCGAATTCCCCTGATTCTCTTGTTATTGTTGTTCATAACTGCAGAAACGAGTGGGTTTTCTGCCGATTAACAATGGAGCGATGCAATTAGGCGCGGCCTCCTGACGCCAAATGCAGCAGAAAATGATAGACGATCAAAATGCATTCGAATTCCCCTGATTCTCATGTTATTGTTGTTTATAACTGCAGAAACGAGTCGGTTTTCTGCCAATTAACAATGGAGAGATGCGATTAGCCGCGGCCTCCTGATGCCAAATGCAGCAGAAAACGATAGAAGATCCATAGCCTCCCCCCTTTCACAATTTCATTCTACGCCTTGTAATAGAATTCTCAGCAACTAGTGTGTTTTTTGTGTTACTTTCTTGTATATGCATGGAAGAACTGTGTGGTTTGAGATGCTGAGAAACTTGCGGATATGTACATGTACAGCAAGTACAAAGCAATCTTCCCCCCAAAAAACTTCCTTATACATTCTTATATTAACCTCTTTCTCAGGCTAATTATGTCCATACACAAAATAACACAGAACCAATTACAATTGTCTCACTTGGGTGTAGAAGTAAAACACAGGAAAATTCACTTTTATTTTCTTTATATTATTCAAATACATACTGCATGCCTTTTCATTCATGTTATGAAATACCACCAACAGAGTCAAATGGCTAAACAAAGGAAGAGAGAAAAGAGTTGCCTTCTGGATGACAAAATTTTGCCTTCTCAGTTCATCTAAAAATTGCATTTCAGGAAAATGTTTATAGTGCGCAAGTCTTTCAATTCTTTTTCTTCCAACTCTACTGGTCCAAAGTTAAGAAAATGTAGATGATCATGCTCGTTTTGTACGTTTCCCAACCTGCAGCGCCAGTTCCATGTCTATTTTCAGGGAGATGTCGAGAGCTTTCACAGAATGTGTCAGTGCACCGCTGCAAACATCAACATATCAATACTGTAAATAATTTCCTGAAGTTAAAATGTGATGTTGATGACCACAAAGCTAATGTTTCTTTCAACTACAAAGCTAAAGTTTCTTTCTACTACAAAAGCTTAGACTCGTCCCTAAATCAAGTACGAATTCAAAACTTCACCACATACCAAAATGAGCCTTGAACTCGCTCATACTCACACTCCTATATCAGTTGCATTAATAATCTGATTAAGATTCAGAGATAAACCTAGATATAATCCATTGAAAGGTTCTAATAAAATTTGATACGCAGGGAACAAGATGTACCAAGTTAGAGTCTCCTTAGATCTTAAAATACTACCTTACATCAACTCTAATCGATGCGCTGCATAATTCCTACACTACCATAAGTAGCAAATATTCAACTGCATATAACTTTTACAAAAATAAAAAGTGTTGATACATGGAATGACTAAAACGTCCAATATGGTCCGACTTCCTATGTGCCACAGCCGCATCAACATCTTTATTTTCGATGCGCGATAAAGATAGAACAACTTGGAAGGAAACTAAAACGTTTTCCTATTCTGTCTCTTTCTATCTTCGTCTCTCTATTACTCTGTGTCTCCTATTTTCTCTCTCTGTCTTAATATGGTTCATGGTTCTTCCTCTTTCGTATCTCAGTCAGATTCTTTGTTTGGTGAAATCAAAGGGCAAACAGAGCACCAAAGAATTTAATCGAAGGGGAAAAAAACATATAGAAAGAGTCTGGTATAAGTTAGATCTGCGTTTTGGGGCTTGAGAAGGGCTTGAGGATGATTTATAAGTTTTTTCCATAACTTTTAAAAGTTCAGCATAAATAGCTACCATAAGGCCTCGAGAAGATGATGTTTGTTTCATGGATAAAAACAAAAAAAGGAAAATTGGCTTTAGAATTTTAATCTTTGATAATTAGAAATTAATTTTTATAAAAATAATTGGAAAAAAAAAAGGGGGATGGACGCTTAAACTAAAAAATATTTCTTATCTCTGCATATTGCATTATGTTTGCACATGCTCGGAATATTCACAATGATTCAATGAAAGCCTATTCTGAGAATGAGGGGCATGTTTGAAGATATAAACCTTTAAACTTGCTGAAAGTTTTGGGATAGTAGGTTATTGACATTGCCTTCATAGTGCGTCCTTTCTAAAGTTATCAGTATATGTTTTTGATGTTTGACAAAGGACAGGCTCAAATAGAAGAAAGTAAATAAGGGTTATGGGCTGGAAATTTAGAAACAAAGCTAAGATTCAGGGGTTGTTTATAGAAAAGAAGGATTGAAATTAACAAAGAAAAGCCTATTGGAATCACTCCAATAGGACCTAGGTATCACACCTACAGAAGGCCTCACGACCTCAAAATTTGTGAATCACTCACAAAGAAATCTCAAAGGATAATTTTATTCAGTCATTCGCTCCGTATTCAGAGTTATATAGTATCCTTTTTATAATAAAAGACGACCATTGGATTACCCTACAATGGAGCTAATCAAAAGTTGACTCTAACTTAATAAAGTAACAAATAACTTAATTGATGCAATTTAATCTAATTATGCATGCAATTTAATCTAATTATGCAATTTACCAAAACAATGCAGATTTTCCATAATTAATGCAATTACCAAAATAATGAAATTTGACCAAACCCCCTAATTATACAGACTCCAAGTGGACCCCCAATCGTCTAGCATGTGCCAAATTAAGGGTTGAGCTCTAGAATCCTTCTTGCCACACCTTTTATATACTTTAAAAGGCTGCTGCCACTGTTCTCTACTTGGGTTGTTCTCCACCAGTTTTTCCCCTTGACTTTTTGTTGCTCCAAGAAAGAGGAAATTGGATAGAGATAACAGGAAGACTTATGAGATGAAAATAGAGAGAGAGAGAGAGACGTATAGAAAGTTTAGGGAAATCGGATCTAAATGTAATTGAACAACAGATAAGAAAGAGGAATCAAACATTATTTCTTATCTAAATGTAATTGAACAACAGATAAGAAAGAGGAATCAAACATTATTTCTTTTCCTTTGAGAAAGACGTATACGTGACTATGCCACCTCAAAGTCGGATGTAAATTTGGACGTTTTAATCAATGATATATCATTATTCAAAAATAAAAATAAAAAAAGTCGAATGCACGCTTGTTACCCGAAAAGTTTTATATTATAGAGCAATGGTTTTGTAGAAACCCAAATTATAAAACAAGGCCAACGTGTTTGCAGTTGTTTAATTCCTATACTCAGCCTTGCGTGCATTTATTAAGTGTTCCTTTACAGCACTCTCTTTGATGTTTTCTCTTCATCTATAAGTATGAACACAAGAAGAAAATAAGATCTAACTACATTTCTAAGACGCCCACACAATGGTCCTTTTATTATTTAGCTGAGAACTCTTAAGGTACCAAAATCTTATTATCATAACATAGTGCGGATATGGAATTTCTGGACTCACATTCTTGGTGCGAGATCGCTTGTATACGCCTAAATTGCTTAGTGAGAGTGCGGTTCAAGAAAGCCTTTTTGGTCAAGTTTAAATTATAAAAGCCACTACCACTACTACCCATAATACCCTTATCCCTACCAATGATTGTTTCTCTCTCCTTTTCATTTTCTCTCTCCTCTCTCTACCTCCTACCAATTCAACCCATGTCATAGATAATCTCAAATTCATTGAACATGATATACCACCTTGCCAAACGCCCATAAAAAATAGGTCTAGACATTACATACTTGTCGGGATGGCAATTTGGCTCGCCCCGCCCCGTTTTTAGCGGTTTTTTTTTGTTTTTGATTTTTTGATAAGTCCTTTTTTGGCGGTTTTGGGGGACCATTTAGCTTAATTGGGCAAGAATGGTTTGATGTATTGAAAACCCATGTGGGTTCGGTGCGGGGGTTGGGGGAGGTCGCCCCACCCCATTTAGATAGGTAAATTACTTAAATACCATTATTTCATTAGTATATATAATTTGTATTAGTACCCTTATTTCATTAATATATATATTTCATTAGTATATATATTGAGATAGTTTGTTTTGCAACAAAATCTAAAAATTTGAAACAAGCAGCATGCGCTACCATTTAGAATGTTTTAATGTTGAATTTTATATTAAATTATTTATTGTCCATTTTTTTTTTATAAATCTTTTCAATAATTCTATAATTTTAGTTGATAAAAAAATTTAAATGAAGGAGAATTTCTGGTCTTAAATGGGGCGGGTACCCGCAGGGGTAAAGATGTTAAACGGGGGCGGGGATGGGATGGAAAGTCCTCCCATTTTTGCGGTTTTGGGCGGGGATGGGGGGTGGGGTTTTTAAACGGTTGCGGGGGCGGGGGAGGGTACACCCGGCCAAGCCCGCCCCCGTTGCCATTCCTTGTCAGTGTAAAACACATTGAGTAGATGCTCTGCCTCTAGCTCTCGTGTGAGATGTATAGTTTTTAGAAGTTGCCACAGAGTGGCAGTACGTCCTTATGTATTGCACCTTGAAACCTTCTAATATGCTCATACGAGTGCAATCCTATTTTAGGAGAAAGACATCCTCTGTTCAAGGGAATAACGTATCTCAATTGTCAACAAGAATGTTATGATCTCTTGTTTAGCATTGCGACAATTTAAAAGAAATGTTGCTTCAACTCGTGAGCAGTACATCTATCTGGTAAAATATCTACACCAGATAGATTTTAGGTCCTCTATCAATCATGATAATGCTGTTACCAATTTCTTTTTGTATAACCGTTGAATTTACTAAACAGAACAGGACTGGGACAGCAGTACCATTACCTAGAAATGTAGGTCACACCAGTTTGTCCAATTTTGTGTACCGTATCAAGAGTAACATTTCCAGATGCCTGCCACCATAGCATCAATATATAAGTATTGAAGTACTCGAACAGAACATTTAGTCTCTCATAAGAAAATGTAAATTAAAAATATGCAACCAGCAACAATTAGTGATTCAAATAGAGCCCTCATAAAATGCTAAAGTAGTAATATTATATTGCAACACAAGACAGCTACTGAATGCTCTAAGAGAACAAAGTTGGTGACAATATGTAGCAGTGACAATTTAGCACAAATAAGCAGCATAAAGCCAAACCCAAAGAGCTGATTAAAGCATAAACGATGATGACAAGAAAGGCAGCAGTTTTCTATTAAATGAAAATAATACCCTATCATAACTCATTTAAGTTTCTAAGACTAGGCAAATACAAATGATACCTATCATAAATCATTTAATTCGATGAGACTAGGCCAATACGAAGAACTAGGATCAAGAAACATGCTATGCACATGAGAAAATATAAATAGAAAGCCACAATTAAAATAATCATGACTCACTAACCCAATGATTTGTATATATTCTGGTTAGACTTATTTAACAGATCGCAGAATCACGCAGACAAAGACACTTCATAGTAGGACTTAGCAAGAAATGGCCTAGAGGTGGTTGACAGTGTGGTCAATAGGACATTAACGGTACAAATTAAGATGAAAAATATAAATATTATTGATCGGACAGAGCTTGACAGGAAGTGATTGTGGTCATCAGTCACATGGTGATTGTTCTTACAAGGTCTTGCAGATAACTAATATAACAGATAAATGAATGTGTAAATAAATAATAGGAGCTACCTCAGTTTCGAATCTCCCATTGATCAGTTCCACGGCTTCTTTAAGCATTGATACATCAACATCACCATTCGGTTGTGGGACAACCATATTATCCAACATTATCCTAGTCAAGGATGTTTTTGTTTGAGATGCATATTGCAGTACCTCATTTACTTCATCAAGTGTCCTGGTTTCTATCTGATAATAGAAACAAAATTTTCATTCACTACGCTTATATCTGTCACTGTGTATATCTTATGCACGCCACAAAAAGCAAATGCAACACGAGAGAGAGAGAGAGAGAGAGAGAGAGAATTTTGTTTCTAGAATGGAAATGAATCGAAGAAATAAAGTTGAGCATAAGACAAAAATTTGTAAGAACTTAATAAAGAAAATGGCAGGTTGAACCAAGACATTAAATTGTTAATGAACCATATGAGATTTCAAACAAAAGAGAAACACTCTGCTAATAAAATGTATTCCTTGAGGTTTACAATCCATGAACAAATTAAAATTCAGGAGAGTACCTCAACCCCCATTTGAAGATTATTTTGGTCTAGGTATAGGTCCACAGATCTAAGGGCATTTGTGACACCTCCAGCTACTGATATATGATTGTCTTTGATCAACACCATATCAAATAAACCCATTCTATGATTCCGCCCTCCGCCTATTAGTACCTATAACAAAAGACACCTGGAAGGTCAGAAAATAAAAAAAATAAATAAAAATAAATAAATAAATAAATGAACTGCTCTAAAATGTATACGAAGAGAACAAGGCAGAGAAGCAAAACAGACCGCCCACTTATCCACCAGCCGTAAACATGGAGCAGTTTTCCTCGTCTCTAAAATGTATGCAGGGTGTGCAGCGTCTGCCATGGCCTGCAGACACCATGGACACTTCAATCTCTCCTTGGCAGATAAAACTAAAGTATAGAACACTGTACAAATTGCTAGGATGGCAAGAGTTTGTTCAATATATTATACATCCCCAGTTTTAAACTTGAATTTCAGTGGCTAATTTTTATTTTTTTACAGCGATTGAAAAGTGTTTCTTGCACACTTTTCTTGCATAATACATATCAATTATATTGTTAAAGTTACATGTAAAGGTGACTAAACTTGTCTTACTGAGAAAATACAACAAAACATCCAACATGTAAAGCATCATACAACGAGTAAAATTACCTGAAGGAAATAAAGGATTGACTAACTCTTTTAATGGAGTTTAATGTGTTCTAGTTTAATTTATAAGTCTAGATTTCATTTTGTTCAATATATAATCCTTGCTGCTTCAGCAATGCTCAAAGTGAGCATTGCATATTTCTTGTTCTTATAAAGGAAAAGCATACCTTTGTTAGAGTTGCTATTCCACTCATCCTCTGCATAAAATTAAGCACAACCCTTTCAGCTACAACAATGCTGTGTGCCCGTCCTGCATATTTTGAAGAAGTGGCCAAACGAAAAAGGTTAAAAAAAATGGACTCTTTTTTTCTATAATGCTAATGCTTCAATTGTCATTAAGAAGCCATTTCTTTGTTTACCATGCACTTTTCCAAACTGCAGCCCTTTATGAACATAATCCCCATCCTTTTTTGACCAGTCCACCTGTATTCAAGAATGACCAAGTATTCAACCACAGCATATATAATTATATGAACACAGAAGCACTTCTGTATTGCAATACCTTCAGCGATGGATCAACTATGCTGAATACCATCTCTCCCAATGTGATTCCAGCCACGATCCCATCCTCCTTCGCCAAGAAATGGGCTTCTGCTTCCATGCCAGCCGGAATTGTCGCCATACAGGTCACATCCCCTGCATTTGAATATGTTGGTTAAACTACCATGGATATTTCAACTAGTTGACACCAATTGTGAATGAATAAAAGGGTTAAGTCAGTACACAAGACTCTTGTCATTGTGGCGCTGAGGGTCAGATGTATGCAGCCTTAGAGGTTGTTTCCGGTTTTGAACCGGTAACCTCTGCATCACAAAGAAACAACCTTGTTGCGCCGAAGCCCACCCTCACCAATTGTGAATGAATAAAAGGGCTAGGCGCACGAGACTCCTGTCATTGGGGCATCTAGGGAGGGTCAGATGTATGCAGCCTTAGAGGCTGTTTCCGGTTTTGAACCCTTAACCTCCAAGTCACGGACCAGTTGCACCAAAGCACACCCTCACCAATTGTGAATGAATAATATGCATAAAATTGAAACAGCTGAGATAAAAGAGTAAGAGAGGAACTGAACCTCGATACCCAGCATCTTCAGCTAGGGCGAGCTTGATGACGCCCTTCAAATCATAAGTAGGGTGAGAAGGAGGCTTTATGGGTATGTGCTCAAGTGATGGCCTAGGGTTTTTTGTATCAGCAGACATGGCCATCATCAATCTGAAATATTCATTGCAATTAAAAAAAGGGCAAGAAAAAATGAAGAGATATAAATAACAATTTTTTGTTTTTCATTTTTGATTGGGTAAAAGAAATCAGCAACATACCTTGAAGTTTTGAATACATGAGGAGAAACTAATGGAGAGATCGAAAGAATCCCAAACATTTACTAGTTGTGACTGAAGCTCTTCTACAGAGGGTACTAAATTGCTTGGCCCTTTATTTCAGCAAGCTTCTTCTCCAATACTCACTATGCATGCATCAACTGTGATTAAAAATAAATTAAAAATTAAAAAACCCAAATCAAATTGATTGAAAAAGTTTCTACTTAGAATTGTACAATGAAAACCCATAGAATCAGACCATCACAATACATTGAAATTGCTATAAGGCTCAATAAAAATCCAAACTTGTTCGATAGTGGCGATCGAGAAGAGAGATGGAGAATGCTTGAGAAAGTTGGCGTTTTTGAACGGTTGGGATTGGGCTGCTCAGAGATTTAATTTGATTTTGATGGATCGAGAGAGGGAAGGGGAAGAAGGGAAAGGGAGTTTTATGTTTCGTCTGTGTGTAAAGTGTGTGTGCGCGCGCGCGAGTGAGAGAGGAATTAGCTGATGGTGTGATTTGGTTCTCTGTACGCGCGCGCATTGGGTTTTTAAGATCATCGGATATTGGCAAATTTATTGTCATATGAATCACTAACGCTGTTTGGTAGGAATGAATGAAAGAGGTGTGAAGAGAAAGTTACTTTGTTTGGCGGTGATGATATAAGAAAAGAAACAAAGAAAATAAGAAGGATGAGTTATTCTTTCTATTTTACAATTATTCATTCGGTTAAATGTAGACGAAAGACAATAAATTATTATAAAAATTTTAAATTAAATACTATCATAAATTATACTAATTTTAAATTACATTAATATTCTCTGTAAATTACAATATTATAAAATATAATAGTAAAAATAATTAAAATTTTCTATTTCCTTCCCTCTATGAACATAATAAATTATAAATTTATTCTTTTCTCTTTTATTTAACCGAACAAAAAAAAAAAGAAATACATAATTTCTTCTCTATGGATGTTTCATCCATCCTTTCTCTTCTTCCTTCCCTCCAATTTTTTTCTTTCCTACCAAAGGAAGCATAAAGCTGCGTTTGGTCTTGGGAAATAGAATGGATTGAAATGTCCATTCCAGCATTTTGGACCATTTCTTTTACTTAATAAAAATAATTAAAAACAAAATGACTAATTAAGATCATTTTTAAAAAAAATTATTCCAAAGTCATTTCACGTTTGATCTGACCAGTTCAAATCATTTCAAAGTCATTTTGAAAATATTTATCAAAAATTCAAAAAATATTGGTTTGGAAAGAAAGAACTTGTAACTCCAAACCTAGTTTATCCGAAAACAAGTTTAGGCAATCGATGTAACCTTTGCCTAAAAAAAAACCCCATTTTCGTGGCAAAGTAATGAAAAGGCATTACCCAAAACAACCAAATAAGGAAGCCTTTAACAAACTTCTTGTCATCGATTTAAACACTTGTTGTATATATATATACGCAACCAGGTTCAATAATAGAACATCACCAATCCTAATACTCTTTCTCTAGTATTAGAAAAAGGTCAAATCATTTCCAAATAAGGAAATCATTAATTGAAGAAAATTTCATGCAAAATATAATGAAATTGAATCCTTCAATTTTTTATATTTGGTAAAGATGACTAATCAAAACCTGTAAATCAAAGAATTCACTTTGAAAATCCGGCCCAAGTATCACTACCCATATTTAATTTAAAGTTTGAACTATTTTTTTTTTTTTTTTTTTCAATTCTAATTCGACACCAATTCTATGTTAGGCTCAATAATAATAACAATAATAAAAGTTTTTACTCTTTGAAGTGTTTTAAGTTCAATAATAGTTTTGGATTTGAAATTGAAAAAAAAAAAAAATTAGTTTAGAGTTTTAACTAATTTTTTTTCTAATTCCAAATCTAAACCACCGATTCAGTACTTTCCATAAAAGTAATTATGTTTATTATATAATATTTGAACGTAGAATTCTGAATTTACATATGCTATATTCGTTTAATTGAAGAATGTTTAGAATAAGAATTGAAGAAAGTTTAATTTAAAACCAACATGCCAATAATAAATTCATCTATGTTTTTAGTAATTTGAGGAGTGACAACTAGTTTTTCTTAGTCAACCTACCATGCCAATTGCCCACTGATCCAAATCCAGTAGTCCATTTAGTAATAGATTGGGCTTTGGTTGGATAGAGTTATGAGCTGTATGTTGAAGTTGAACTCAGTAAGCACAGAGCCAGCCCAAGTTTAGTGTACTGAATCCAAGCCCAACTATTAAAAGTATAAGGGATCCACTTTACATTTAAATGCCCATTTACTAGATCCCGCTACTCCTATTAATATTTAGTAAGCTTAACTCCCATGCCTTTTGGCAAATACTATATGCGTGAGTGGTTGGGTTATTTTTCGGCTCTGGAAGCCCATGTTTGTCCCTTGCATTCTTTCCCTCTCCTCTAATAATTAACTTTAATAAGGGTCATTTGTCTCACATAGGATTCGGATGGAAAAGTGACTGCATATAAATGGGTGGGTATGCAGTACTACCCAACAACTTGAGTTTTTGGATAAATGGGTAAGCGCTCACTCATTACAGGTGGTATCATAGTCAGACTCAGTCGTTAATCCGGTGTCACGCTAAGCGCACGGCCTGGAGGGTGTCTAGGTTTTGCAATCCGGGTAGGTAAGGTAGCCCGAGCCGTAATGAGGGTGTTGCAAGTTTAGGTGGAAGAGAATGTAACAAGGGTCATTTGTCCCACATCAGATCTGAATGAGAAAGTGATTGTGTATAAATGGGTGAATATACAATACTACCCAACAACTTAACCTTTTAGGTAAATGGGTAAGCGTCCACCTATTATACTAACCATTAACCTCTAACATTCTTGTTGTCTTTGATATAATATACTCCCTCCGTCCCATAATAGTTGGGATGTATTGTAATTCCAACTTTTTATGAAACTGGTTTTTACTGTACAAATAATGAGTGAAGTTTCATTTTTATCCTTGTGAAAAAGAAAGTACTACTAACTATTGAAGTTTTCATTGTGCAGAAATCTAGTCAATTTTTAAAACAAAATTCAATTGGTGGGAATTACTCCGTACTTCATTCTGTGGGGCATGAGAGCATCTACAATGCTAAAAGCTATTTTCAGCTGCTAAATCTATATTTTGGCACGTGCTACAGTGTCAAAATGTTACATTTTAGCAATTCTGCTCCAATGGTACACTTCATGCAAAATGCTATTTTTTTACGCAACCACCATTCTTTTTCAATTACCATTCCCACCATTCATATTTGCATCAGTAATATTAATATTAGGCACATTCCAAGTCAAGTTATAGACATTAGAAAAAAATAAAATTAAACCTAATTAAAAAGAATATCTAAAATATCTAGCAAAAAAAGGACAAAAAAAAAAAAATATATATATATATATATATAATTTTTTTTTTCTTTTTCAGAAATTCATATTATATATATATATATATATATATGTATGTATATTATATATATTTGAGTATATTATTATTAAAAATATATATATTTAGGGCAAATCATTTCAGCCTCCCCAATCGCCTTCATCTCTATTCTCGTTCTCAACTCTGAACTCCCTCTCTCTATCTCTCTATATCTCTCTCTGCAACTACAAGCTAGAAAATCTACAAGAATCAAAAGTTGAAAACCCATATATTTCAGTTTATCTATCTGTCTGCAAGAATCAAAAGATCAAAACCCATATCGGCATATCATTTCAGATTGTTCAAAAACCCATATCTTTTAGTTTACATCGCCTGCTGTTCTAGTTCGGGTTCGACGTTCGTAAGCTTCAGCTGCTCTCTCAACTCTCAAGCTTGGCCTCTCTCTCTCTGCAACTGCTAAATTGTATGTATGGGTTTTGTTTTAATTTTTTTTCTAAATCAATTGGTCTATAATTCTTGTTTTGCAAACTAAATCCTATTTGGTGAAATTTTTTATGATCTTTTTAAAATATATATATATATATATATAGATGAATTTGGGTTGAAATTATATATGTGTGTGTGTGTGTGTGTGGTTGAAATTATATATATGTGTGTGGGGGGGGGGGGGGGGGGGGGGAGTGTCGGGGTTAGAGAGCTGCCAAAAAAAATTTGGGATCTCTTACATTTGAGAGAAAATTTAAGATTTTCAAATTTTGAGAGGTTAAATGAAAGGCCATTGGAGAGCCCATTTTTTACACCTCTCTCAAATTTTGAGTTTAGCAGCCCAAATGAAGGGTGCATTGGAGATGCTCTGACATCATTTACTTTGAAGTTCCAATTTTGAATGTTTATTTGTGGAGTTATCCGATTAAATTGGCCTACTCTTAGTTTGAATCCTACATGTAACTGTCACGTAATTACCTAAAATCGTTGATATTTTATTTGCGCACTAAAGATAACAAAAATAAATATGGAAAGAAGCTGAAGGGGTTTGATGACTCTATCTCTGGTAGAGTTGATGATGGGTCTGGTGCAGGAATCAAATTGAACGTTAAAGAGAGAGCGCATCCACTTTGTAATGAATTTTTGAAGGTTTTTTTTTTTAATCAAATTCCCAAAATTGATGCGAAGCTAAAATATATATTGAAAAAAAAAAATAGAAAAAGAACGTAACAGGAAGTTGGGTGATGAACATGGCGTCAGAGGAGGGGTAGAACTACCGTACTTTGTGATGATTTTTTTTTTTAATCAAATCCCCAAAACTGATATAATATATAGAAGCCAAAATATATATTGAAAAAAAAAAAAAAAAAAAAAAAACATGAATACATATTTTTAATCTTATTAGGGTTTGTTTTTTTTGTTTTTGTTTTTGTTTTTTTTGTTTTTTATTTTTTGTTTTTTTGTTTTTTTTTCTCTCTTCAAGCAAACATATACGTTTATATGTATTTTCCCCTTTAATTTTATAAACCAATAGTGCTTTGTTTTCCCCTTAATTTTGTAAAGTGAAAAAAAGAGAACTGTGAGTCAGAGAGAGAGAGAATCAAGGAAGCAGTAAAACGAAGAAGATGAATAGAGAAATCAAAGTGATAGAGAAGGTCGTCAAAACCTTTTCAACTTCTTTTCATATAAATTTTTGGTATTTTTAACGCGTAAATAAAATATCAACAATTTAGGTAATTACGTGACAGTTACACGTAGGATTGGGATTAGAAGTAGGCCAATTTGATCAAACAGAATATCATTACTCTTATTTATGTGATGACACTAACGTGTATACAGTACTATATAGTGGGGCATGACATCATTTACTTTTCTTTTAAAAATTTAATGTCTTTAATCAAACAAATGGAAAAGGGGTGGTTTGGGAATGTAATGAAAAATAGTAAATCTATTTTTTAAAAGGAACATGTATTTTGGAATATTTTAAAATATATATATATATATATATATATATATATATATATGTATTTTGGAACGGAAGGAATTTATAAATATTTCGGTATTCGAGCGGATGGTATGAACTCACCTCCCTAAAAGAAACTTAAAGGTTTCAACTTTTGAGTCTCACGCTGCTAATGTGGTGTGTGCGCTTTTC